CGTTCCCCTCTACAATCGATGTAGGATCTCACAATCCACCCTATTCGGGACCCAACATCCTCATTGGCACACTGTCCTATTTGGGTTTTCTTTTTCGGGCAGATATTGTCGTATTTGGGCTTTCTTTTTTGTGTTTCCCCTCAATGAAAGATTTCCACTTCGTTCCCCTCTACAATCGATGTAGGATCTCACAATCCACCCTATTCGGGACCCAACATCCTCATTGGCACACTGCCTTGTGTCCACCCCCTTAAGGGCTCAGTCTCCTCGTAAGCACATCGCTCGGTGTCTATCTCTAATACCATTTGTGACGACCCAAACCTATCGGTAACAAATATTGTTTTCATCATGTTTCCGTTCAAGGTTTTTAAAACGCGTGTAATAAAAGATATGTAGTTCCCATCTTCAACCGATGTGGGATCTCACAAATATGATCCTTAAGAAAAACTTAAAAGAATTGAGGCTACTACCTCCACTAATAACACGTAGCACTTATTTTCAGTAGCTCAATCACAAGAACTCTAAAATTAAGCAGGTTTAGCTCAAGTACGTGACGATAGAATTCACTCTTAGAAGTAACAAGTAGGTAACGTGGTTATGTCTCGGGAGATACAAGGAAATGTCGGGGCCATTAAATACGGATCCGAATCCTAAATATCAAGAGAGGAGGAGGAGAGAGAGAAAGTGATGAAGAAAGCAGAGCCACAAAAGCAGAGGGACCCCATATGTCATTTGGAGGTCCAACAATGGCGACGGCACCCCATGGCCATGGCTCCCACCTTCCTCATCTCTCTCTCAGTACAACTTCCGTGCTCTCTCAATAAATACCTCTCCTTCCACTCCCAATCCCTTTCCAAATTCCCCCAATGCCGATTCCCAAGCCCGCCGCTCTCAAGCACATTGTGAAGCGCTGCTCCAGCCTAGGCCGGAAGCAAGACGCCACCGCTACCGCCACCGCCTACGACGGCGTTCCCAAGGGACATTTCGCCGTCTACGTCGGCCAGAATCGCAGCCGATATGTCGTCCCCATTTCCCTCTTAACTCACCCCGATTTTCAGTGCCTCCTCCGCCTCGCGGAGGAGGAATTTGGCTTCCACCACCATATGGGCCTCACTATTCCTTGTGAAGAGGTGGTTTTCCGCTCACTCACCGCCGCTCTCAAATGAACCCACCACCGCCCAAATGCACAAATCCCTCATTCTTTTTTATTCATAGTATTATTATTTTTTCCCGTTTTGGAGGGTTTTTTTTTTTTTTTCTTAAAACACCACCCATCTTTCCGTTCACGATCCAACCACAGTTTATCACGTGTCGAACGTTTTTTCTTGAAAAAAGAACGAGTGTAGCTGAAAATGTGTTCGTAACTACTACCCGATTTAGTTCTTTTAGTGTCGAGACGAAGACAATAGCTATTTTGACTGATGAGCTAAGCTCGATGTAAAATAGGGTTTGTATTTTTGTATAAATATTTAGTAGCATGGGAGATTTTCCTCGTAGCGGTGGATTTGTTTCTTCAAACACCCTACGAGAGAGCTGAAAGTAATAATATTATTGAATTATCGAAGATTTGAACATCTAATCTTTTGATCGATGATATAAAAAAATCTCGATAGTATAAATTATGTTCATATTGAATATCCGTCTTTTGTTTTGATAAAAATTTTAATCTCTAAAATTTAAAATTTTTATTTTAGGATTAATAACTTAAAAAACTAAAATAAGATTTGATACACCGATATTAAAATGTCAACTTAGGCTAAATTAATAAAAATATTCTTAAACTTTTCCAGTCTACAAAAATATATATATTTTTAAATTAAATAAAATTAAAAAAATACCATTATTGTTGGTTTGAGAGGTAAATGGTTCCTTAAATTTTCAAAAAGTGTTGAAAAATAGCGTTAAATTTTAAAATTTTCATTAATATTTTTAATTTTTTTAACTTCAAAAATAATATTACCGTTAATATCACATTTCAAAAATACTAATAAACTTTCAAAACTAATACTAAAAAAGAAGAAAATCTATGAGGTGTCGATAGACAGTTTCGGTTCATGTATTGACAGGAAAAACTTGCAAAACCCTTTCTAAGGATGAGGACGGTAGTTCAGGAGTTCGCTCGAAAGAACTGGCGTACCAAGCTTTTGATCACTCTGTTAGATCCAAGGCACGTCTTCATCAAGCTCTCGAGAAAATCCATCGACTTTAAAAATCGTGTTTTTTTCACTTATTAACCTGGTGTTAATGTTATATTTAAAATTTCATGAGTATTTTTTAAACATAATATAAAAAATACACGTATTTTTTTTAATTTTTTTTTAAATTCAACCATATTAATAAAACTATACTATCAGTGTTTTCAAAAAAAAAAAAAAATTTAATTTACAAATAAATATCAAAGTTATTATTATTATTATTATTATTATTTATTTTAGGTACAATAATATAAAGAGACAAGAAAAGGAACTTATTTTAACCTTTTGTTTTAAAGAGTCGGTGGAGGAAATTGATTTTGTTGATCAATTCCCACCAATTAAGCCCATGATTGTTACTATTTTCCAATATATATATATATATATATTTAATATATTCTTAATTTTGTATTATTATTATCTCCGACCTCAATTTTCATTACTCTATGACGTCGTGTGCTCAAAGCTAACTCGTACGCTACTGAATTCCACGTTATCGGTTGAGAAAGAGAAAAC